TTTATCGGAGGAAACATGTTCACTGATACTATACCTCCTACGGATGGAATTTTGCTCAAGGTACGTGTATATTCAACCATTATTAAGTAATCATGCCAGTCATACAGCATCTACTAGGTATCAATACCTCCATGCCTTTTGGTAAACAGATTCCAGTGTTTTAAACTAAAAGGTTGTTTTGAACCGACATTTGTTAAAACCTTTTGATGGTTGGTTAAAACCGATAAAAGTTCAAAGCATCATCCTTCATTCCTATTTATCAAATGGGCCCTAAATACATGGACATATATTGTTTAACACATTTCAGCCGTTTTAATCTTTTAGAAATATCTTAGATGTAGAACGTTCTTTTCTTGTTGACTAAAATATATTTGTTTTTGCTTTGTCTCAACTAGTGGATACTGCATGATTGGAATGATGAAGATAGTGTGAGCATTCTGAAGAGATGTAGAGAAGCAATTTTGAGAAATGGTAAAGGAGGAAAAGTTATAGTTATTGAAATGGTGATTGAGAACCAGAATACGAATGAAATAACTGGAATACAATTGTCCTATGACGTGATGATGATGGGCAGCTTCTTCGGCAAAGAGCGTAACTTAGTGGAATGGGAGAAGCTCTTCTTCGAGGCTGGATTCAGTCACTATAAAATCAATGCAAAAATGGGAGCAAGGTCTCTCATTGAGCTTTACCCTTGAGATTATCTTGGTGGTGTTGTTCGATTCTCACGTTTGAATTATATAGAATAAATTATTTACCAATAGTACTTGGTTTGAATAATGTGTAACTCTCTTCTCATAGTGTTTTTTTTCCCTTTCCACCCTTCAATCAAGAAATGAAATAATGATATGTTAATTTTCCTCTTAATGGTCAATATATATTTTCCCTATATCTTCATATCAGTTCTCTTGATTTGGTCAAAGATGTTAGTTATAAAAAGTTTTGATAAAAGAATATTCGTTTTTAGATAAAATTATTTTATTTTTATTATCATCGCCACCATCATCGTGCATTTTGAATGAAATGGGAAGAGAAAACATGGTTTTGAGACTGAAAGGTACAATGTCCTAATTTAGTTGATGATGGACTGTTTTTCAACCCAGCAGGCACAGCCCACATTCTTTGAAGAATAAAAATTAAGCACTGAAAATGGTGCGGAATAAAACAAATGAGGAAGGCCCCACATTCTCTTGATTTGTCAAAGATGTAAGTTATGAAAATTTTGATAAAAGAATATTTGTTTGTAGATAAAATTATTTTATTTTTATTATCACTACCACCATCATCATGCATTTTGAATGTAATGGGAAGAGAAAACATGGTATTGAGACTGAAAAATACAATGTCCTAACTTAGTTGATGATGGGCTGTTTTTCAACCCAGTAGTACTGCGAACCACAACGGACTTGCCGTGGAAAAATTGCCCAAGGAACTAAAAATCAGAATTGTAATGGAATGAACAAGCTTCCATGTAATGACTAAATTAAAAGTGCACTAAAACCAAATAAACTGAAATGCAAGTAAACTAAATTAAAAAATACATAAATTAAACTAAAATAAATGAGAGTCTCAAGGTAATAGCCCATTTAAATGTATAAAAGGTGGTGAAATAACTCTATGATCTCATAGAGTTATCGAGTTATCTTAACACATAATTTTTTATAGTGCTTTTACAGATCACTTATTAGGCCATCACATAGTAACTCTCCCACCTATATCCCTTCCCTCTCCACCTTTTTTTCTTTTTTTTTTCTTGCGCTCTCTATTTTTTAATACTTTAAATGTTATTTTCTTTTATTTTCTTACGTATGTTTTGCTCTTTACTAATTTTATTTTATTTTTTATGTTTTTTTTTAATTTTTGTCAAGCCTTTTATAGTTTAATTTTTTTAACAACTGTCTTTACAACATCTAAGACATATAAAAAGCAATCAAGTGGACTTGCTCCTAAAGAGCCCACGTGTTGGCCTTCTTCTTCTTGTTTTATTTTTTTTCCTTCCATTTTTTTAAATTTCCCTCCTTTTCTCTTTTCTTTTTAATTTTTTAATTTTTCCTTCTTTTTTTTTTCCTTCCCTAATATTTTTTAGAGAGTTCATTTTTTTATAATATTCTTTTTTAAAATACATTATTCTAATAAAAATAATTTCTTTCAAATATGTCCCTACTTATTTTTTAGTCAAAGACTCCGAATTAACTATAATTCTTTTTTTTCTTTTATCTTTTTTTAACTTTTCCTCTTTTCCTCATTCTCTTTCTCTTTTTCTTTTTTCTTCATCTCTTTTACTTATTTTTTTTCCTTAACATTCTTTGACTATTCATTTTTTTTTTTTTTTTTACAATTTCATTCTTTGAAACACTTTCTTTTCTTTACTTTATTTTAATTAAAATAAAAAATGTCTCCCTATTTTTTTTTGGGTCAAAAAGTCATTTTTTTTTTTTACTCTTTCTCGATATAATTTTTTAAAATATATTTTTCTCTGACTCTAATTAATGGACTAATTTTCTAATATGGTTACGTGTTTTGACGTGGAATTAAACTTATAAAGTTATTCCCTACATACATAGCATGCGGCTTAACCAGTCTAATCTAATCTAACAAACATAAAAGTGTTAGCGTGCCACATGCTAACCCCTCACTTTTCCTTTTCTACTCATTTTTATCTTCTTTTTAATTTTTAATTTTTTGTGAATGTTTTTCAGATTTAAATTTTTTGTCCATTTTTAAAATTATATTTTTTTCTCACTTTACTCCTATGAATGCCATTTTTTGCATTTATTCCTATTTTATTTTTTAATAGTTAAAATAATTCTCTTCAAATGTGTCCATGCTTAATTATTTTTTCGTGTAATTTCTTTGATATACACATATTCCTTCTTTAGATAAAATTAAAAATTCTTAAATAGTTGTATAAATGAATTTATCGTTATTAAATAAATAATAAACTCTTCAAGCGTCTCTAACACGTCAATATGCCATAAAACTATGATCAGAAGCGATCAATAATGATGCTAAGTACAGTAGGTCCCGGTTTATTTATTAGGATAGTGAAAGGAGCGGACCTCTAAACTTCTATAGCACCAACCAGTCCAAATATCTAATAATGAATTCCAGCCATCTGGCCGCTAAAATTTGGTATTAGCCTTCCTACATAATGATTCTTTAAAATAACAGGAAAATTTCAACTCTAATTCTTTAGACTCGGAGAACAACAGATGTACGTTAAGTATAACCAAATGAATCAAGATAAATAATATTAATTTAATATCGAAGTTTGCGGCAATAAAATTTTTACATGATTAAATTATTAGATACAGATTGATATGTTAAACGCGATTAATGATATTAGACAATCTACTTTATTCCTTCATCGTAGTGGGTTGTTGCATGTAATTATAGAATGTGTAAACGATCCAGCAGAAAATTTTCAACTTTTACTTTAGTCTCTCTTCTTAGTCTTTTCTGATCAAATGATAAACTAGGTCAATTTTTTGAAAGTACTATTAACCAATTGAGCAGCAGACTAGGGAGAGAAAGGAAAATTTTTTCTGGGGAATTCTTGCTGCAAATTTTCTCAGGAAAGTCTGTATATACTCGGGAGGGATATAGTGAGATTCGAGTCTAGAGATCAATAAGAGTCCAGATCGAATTCCTTGAGGGGAGTTCGCAAGGGCGTAGCAAATCTTGGGCCTAACCTCATTAAATCGTGTTGTTTGTCTTCGCCATTTGTAATTTCTTGTTTATTTGTGTAATTGACCGAAGTTTGGGGCAAAAGAATTTCCTATCATGTAAAATATATGAGCTCTCCATAGCTTTTGTGATAATGAAAAAGTTTTAAATTTTACTTGCTTATGCCAAATTAATTAATGAAAAGTTTAAAATCAGTTTGTTTTATATATCCAAACTCAAATCATTGAGAATTAATCCTGAGACTCTGAATCTTATTCCTTATATTTTGGAGATATGATGAAATAGGTAGCCGAGAATGTTATTATACGACATGGAATCCATTCCTTCTTGAGAAAGAAGTAGATAAATAATTCTCTTGAGTGTTGATTCGGTACTTGGACTAGTTAGAGCGCTCTGGTTCATGAATGTGTTTTATGAATCAAGCCTTCCTACATAATGATTCTTTAAAATAACAGGAAAATTTCAACTCTAATTCTTTAGACTCGGAGAACAACAGATGTACGTTAAGTATAACCAAATGAATCAAGATAAATAATATTAATTTAATATCGAAGTTTGCGGCAATAAAATTTTTACATGATTAAATTATTAGATACAGATTGATATGTTAAACGCGATTAATGATATTAGACAATCTACTTTATTCCTTCATCGTAGTGGGTTGTTGCATGTAATTATAGAATGTGTAAACGATCCAGCAGAAAATTTTCAACTTTTACTTTAGTCTCTCTTCTTAGTCTTTTCTGATCAAATGATAAACTAGGTCAATTTTTTGAAAGTACTATTAACCAATTGAGCAGCAGACTAGGGAGAGAAAGGAAAATTTTTTCTGGGGAATTCTTGCTGCAAATTTTCTCAGGAAAGTCTGTATATACTCGGGAGGGATATAGTGAGATTCGAGTCTAGAGATCAATAAGAGTCCAGATCGAATTCCTTGAGGGGAGTTCGCAAGGGCGTAGCAAATCTTGGGCCTAACCTCATTAAATCGTGTTGTTTGTCTTCGCCATTTGTAATTTCTTGTTTATTTGTGTAATTGACCGAAGTTTGGGGCAAAAGAATTTCCTATCATGTAAAATATATGAGCTCTCCATAGCTTTTGTGATAATGAAAAAGTTTTAAATTTTACTTGCTTATGCCAAATTAATTAATGAAAAGTTTAAAATCAGTTTGTTTTATATATTTAAACTCAAATCATTGAATTTCACAAAAAATTTAAATTTCAAACGTCAAAATCAATAATTATAATTTAAATATACTTTCCAAACGAGCCATAAATTTCAAAAAGAACATAAATTTCTTAGTTTAATATGACTGGTAGCTAGGTAAAGTTTGATTAGGGGTGTTACAAATATGGTGTCCACTAAAAGGGAAGATGATCCACCAATTATTAAATTGAAAGTTGAAAAGATCACTCATATATCCGTTTAGAAATTGTACTCGAGATTAACAATCCAGCACTTATTATATTCTATATTAGTATAATATTTCTTTTGTCGGTGTAGATCTAATTATTGATCATTGGTCGTAAAAAAGTACAAGCATATGTGAGAAATATATATAATAATTAGTTGCATGTGATTACAACACACTGCCATATTTGTTTCTAACGAGTAAATATCTTTTTTTTTCCCCTTAAAGGGAGGGCAAATGTTTTCCATGAGCTGTCCATGATTTTTAGTTGAGTAAACTATTGTGACTTGAGATTATTCATGTAAGAGCAGGTGAGAACTATATATGATAATTTTTTTTACGAGCATGTGGGAATTATTATATAGTCCATAATATTTCTTTGTCTGTAAAGTTCTTATAATTAATTAGCCATCTGGAAGAGCGAACATATTTAAAAAGTAAAAGCATATAAATAAAAATTAAAATTATTCTAGTCATAATATTTCTTTTCCAACAAACGTAGTACGTGTATTTTTAATTAATTGTGGGATAGGGTTATATCACTTAATATTGTATATAAATACATAGTCTAATTTGGAGCAGTACCAATTTCACAAAAGTA